CTGTTAAAAGGGAGTTTTTCCTTCCCACTGTCGCCAAAGTGCTGCTCATAGGGGGTCATATGATTGTTGGGTTTTTCTCTGTATCTACTGTACAATATAAAGCGTCTTGAGGCGACTGCTGTTGTGATTTAGCGCGTTTTAAATAAACTTGAATTAAATTGAATTAAAGTGACAGCAGCCATGTTATTGGTCACATGATGTCATTACAAAGCTCCCACAGCACAAACACCCTCCACCGGTCCAGTTCAGGTGAAGCTAGCAGCTGCAGCCACAGAGGCCACGCCCCTAATAATGCAAACATGAATCCTTGATACAATTTAAACAGTTGAGTTTTAAATGAGGTCAAAAGACGAAAAACAGAAGCTCATAAATGTTGAGTTCAGGGCTCCTTAAAAGGAGGGAAATTCACATGAAGTGAAAAAAAAGCTTTTTTACCTGTTTAAACTTTGTGTAGTGACTTACTGTCACGTTTCAGAGACACAGTATCTTCATCTCTGTTAATAACAGACATTTATTCACTGTCAGACCTCAGAGCAGAACAACAAACTCACGCTGACGGTTTTTGTTTCAGTTTATGTTTCTGAACTCAAAATCAAAACTTTATTAACAAAAGTGTTTAAGACAAGTTATAAAAAACATTTAAACTAGTGTTTGAGTCCAAGTTCTACTCAGTAACAGTACAATCAGCTGGTAACTCGAGTACTTTTACTCTGTGCCGGTCCTTCTGAAATATAAAGTATGCCGTATATACTGAGTACTTCTACTTCGGATACTCTGAGTACATGTTGCTGATTCTGAGTATTTTCACTCTGTTGGGCTCAGATCAAATATCAGAGTTTTATTCTTCTGGAACTACTTTGTGTGGTGGATGAAGACGAGTCACGGCTTCCAGAGGCGGTAGAGTCCCAGAGCGACGGCGAGGCCGGAGAAGAGGGTGGCTGAGGAGGAGCAGAGCGTCAGCGTTACAGAAATAGTGAAAGTCAGGTCTTCATTCAAACCTCCAAATTAAAAACAGCAAAATTTAATTCTCGCGTTTCTGGAGCTTTGATATAAACTCAGAGCCGACGTAAAGACGAGTTTGGTTCTGTCTGAAGTTTTAAAGAAGCAAGTTCATCATCAGGTTTTAGCATGATAGAAATCAGGTTCTACGCGTGGTCGCAGTGCTGCGGCTCATCCACCTGTGGTGGCTGATGGGTAACAGCCCAGCTTCATGAGTGCTAACATGGCGTGCTAACATGGCGTGCTGACATGATGTGCTAACATGATGTGCTAACATGGCGTGCTAACATGGCGTGCTAACATGATGTGCTAACATGGCGTGCTAACATG